CGAAGGGCGTCATTTTGGCTTTTGGTGGTCAAGCTCCGAATAATATCGCAATGAGTTTGAGTAAAGCACAAGTGGGTACATTATTAAATTAATGATACTGATTTTTACGCATTTTGGTAAACTAACCTTTTTTTGTTGCGAAAGTTATGTCTCGTTTATTATGGTTGCTGGGTCTCCTGTTGCGCTTATGCGCGAAAGGAGGCGTGACCTTAGCTCACCCCTAATTGGTCGAAAATTCCCTTTTTGTATGTAATTTCCGTCATTCAGGTGAACATCTTTGGAACCTCGCCGAATGATATCGACAGTGCTGAAGATCGCTTCAAGTTCAGCCGTAAACTAGAAAGCCTTCAAATAGCTCAACCATTATGGAAGAAAAGTGACAACATTGAGGATGCGAAGGTCAGCTGGACTCCTATATAGCCCTGCATGTCCTCTACTGTGAAATTTAGCAATTCTGTGCTAAAATTGGCTATCCCTGCCTTATCCGACCATCATATGTGCTATCTGGAGCAGCTATGAATGTGGCCCATAATGAGGATGACTTAGCGGCATTCTTGAAACAGGCTACAGTGGTCGCAAAAGAACATCCTGTGGTGGTGTCGAAGTTTATCAGGTGGGTTGAAATTGAACTTTTTGACATCACTTATTTTACTGTAGAATACTCTGTTATACAGCGAAGCCAAGGAGATCGATGTTGATGCAGTAGCTAAAGACGGAGAAGTGCTGGTGATGGCCGTAAGTGAACATGTAGAGAACGCTGGAATCCACTCAGGAGACGCCACACTTGTCACGCCCCCTCAGGATTTGAATCAGGTGAATAGGAAGTTTTTACCTACTTTCATAAGTTTGAGCAACGAATTTCACATTCTTGACAATTATTTTTCCTGGTAGGAGATTCCAGTTTCAGTTGGCTAGAACTTATGCTAAAACCTATGTTCTTTTAGGTTACCTTGGATCGAATTATGGATATCACCTATCGAATTGCCAGCGCTTTCAACGTTAATGGACCTTTTAACATGCAGTTAATCGCTAAG